ACTGTCAACATATCACCCACATGAGCCAATGAATCCTTATTTGGCTTGAGTGAGTTTGAGTTGAGTATCTGTGATTTTGAGTTGAAAAATTCCGGATACATCTGCCACTTTAAGAACTCTGATGTACACAGCCAGACAAGGGGAGCTACAGAGAAATTATGAGATGCAAAATGTTTTTAATTTTTTGAGTGTTTATTTTTATTTATTTTGAGCCTGAGCCAAAATCAAGACTTGGATGCTTAGCCGACTGGGCCACCCAGCTGTCTCCAAAATGTTTTTATTTTTATTTACTTTATTTATTTATTTTTCCCCCAAAATGTTTTCAAGTAGAACAAAATGTGTTATTCGATCAAAAGTGCAATAAAAAAGCAGTTCTAGTGAACTGTACAGAAGGACAGATTCAAAGAGATCATATAGGCACCTCTTCTGCTGTTCAAGAATTTAGTCCTTAGAGAATTTCTGACTATTGAAATAATCCACCAAGGCCTAGTTCATTTGGCACCTCTTCTATAGTGTCTTTCAGATCCCAGTCAGCTGGCATGAATTGTTCTTTGTTCTGCATTCCTGCAGCACCTCACTTGTACTTCTGATACCATGGCATTAGAATCACCAGGAGGGCTTGTCAAAACGAGATTGCTGGGCCCCACCCTGAGAGTTTCTGATTCATAAGGTCTGGGTGGGACCCAGGTGATGCAGATGCTAATGCTCCAGGGGCCCACTGCTCTAATAAATACATTTCACTGTAGCTGTGTTCTAGTGCTTTTACTCATCTGCATTCCCTACTACGTTAAAAATCCCCAAAAGATTTTCTTATTCATCTTTGTAAAATTCTCAGTAGCTAACATAATTCTTACACAAAACTGGTATTTGATATGCATTACTGTGTGATTAACTTTGGAGATTAAACATTTTACCATGATAAATTCTCTCAGTTACCATCTAGATTCCCTCAAAAATGAACTGTAACTAGAGAAAATAACAAAAGGCAGAATATGTCCTGACCTCTCATGGGCTGTCTAATTTTGATTACATCTTCTGATTTCTTTTAATCCTTGCACATAAAGAACAATGATTATTTTCAAATACAAGAAAGTTTGAGATGCATGATTTTAAAGAAGTTAAAACTAGCATTTTTCTTTCTCCTGCATGTGTTTCTATTTTCTCTTGATTTAGTTGGCATCTGACAGCCCAAAGGAGAAAACAACTCAAGCATTTTTTCATCCCACTATTTAGAAATGCGGCCCAAACTAACTTCTTTAGTAGCTGTTCTTATGGTAAAACATTCTGTTCCTTTAGGCTTTGTTGCCTTACAGCTATTTAAAAACACCTAGGAATAAATTTGACCAACTAGGTAAAAGACCTGTATACTAACAATGATAAGACATTGATAAAAACAAACTGAAGACACAAATAAATGAAAAGATATACCATACTCAGGAATTGGCAGAATTAACATTGTTAAAATGTCCATTCTACCCAAGGCGATCTACAAATTCAATGCAATTCCTAGCAAATTTTCAATGGCATTTTTCACAGAAATAGAACAAACAATTCTACAAATTGTATGGAATCACATAAGATCCCAAACAGCCAAAGAAATCTTGAGAAGGAAGAACAAAGCTAGAGGCATCACACTCCCTGATTTCAAACTATGTTACAAAGCTGTATTAATCAAAATAGCATGTGGTACTGGCATAAAAACAGACACATAAGTCATTGGAACAGAATAAAGAGTCCAAAAATAAACTTGAGCATATACAGTCAATTCATTTGCAACAAAGAAGTCAAGAATACTTGGGGAAAGTGGTGAAAGGAGAAAGGAAAGAGAAAAGGAAAGATAGATTCAGAAGAACTGAATAGACATTTTTCTAAAGAAGACAGAGATGGCCAATAGGCACATGAAAAAATGCTCGTTACTAATCACCAAGGAAATGCAAATCAAAATGGCATATCACCTCACACCTATTAGAATAGCTATCATCAAAAAGATAAGAAATAACAAGTGTTGGTGAGGATATGGAGAAGAGGCAAACCTTGTGCTGTGCCTGTGGAATGTAAGTTGGCACAACCAATACGGAAAACATTATGGAGGTTCCTCAAAAAATTAAACACAGAGCTACCATATGATCTAGCTATTTCACTTCTGAGTATTTATCCAAAGAAAATGAAAACACTAACTTGAAAAGGTATATGCACTCCCATGTTCACTGAAGCATTATTCATAATAGCCAAGAAATGGAAACAATCTATGGAAACAATCTTGAGTATCTACTGACAAATGAATGGATAAGAAAATCTGGTATATATACGTGGAATATTATTCAGCAACAATAAAGAATGAAATATCTCCCCTGGCAACATCATGGATGGACTGTGAGAGCCTTATGCTAAGTGAAATAAGTCAGAGAAAGATAAATACTGTATGA